CTGCCTACATGAAAAGAGTGAATCTTCTGCCTTCAGCAGAAACTGGTGTGTAAAATATAATCATAAGGCTTGTCTACAAACACCGTATTTTGCCTTATTATTTAAAAGGATTAACTGGAAAGCAGAGCAACAGAGAGAGGGTGAGAGAGAGACAGAGATGGAGAGAGAGAGAAAAGAGAGAGAAACAGAGAGAGAGATTGGGGGCAGAGGAGAAATGAGAGAGAGGGGGAGAGAGAGAGCCAGGAATCCCATTCTGGAGCTAGGAACTCCAAATACTTCAAGCTTCAGAAGCCTAAGAACCTGAATCTAAACAGCTATTCACCTTAGTGGCTACGATGTTTGCCAGCTCTTTCCCATTTTGTTTTGGACAGAAAATTTTGTTCTGGTTGGCCACATGCCTTCCCCTCAGGGTGTGAAATAGGATTGACTACGTCAACCACAGCAACTTTTGTCTCTCTTTGCCTTGGGTGAGCATGACAGTGTGATCTTGTAGCAGCCGGAGAGATGGAAGGGCTGCCACAGACTCCTGGGGAAAATGTGCCTCTTGTCTAGGAAAGAAACTCTCCCACAGCATCCGTTTTCCTCTGATTACCTCGGATGCCCTCCTGTGGAGCTTGAATAAAGCGGCAAACCACTCAATGGAAGGTGAGGCAGGTGGCAGCGGAACCAGGGGATGAGCTTGTTCAGAGCCACTTTGGGATCAGTCTACAGCTTGTCTTTAAGCCACACACAGTTGTGTTTTTAGTTACCTCCAACCAGAACACATTCCTGATTACTCACCTCCAAGGCTGCCAGGACTAACCTCAGCATGCCATCTCAGCCCTCCCTCCCTTCATCCCTAGGCATCTAAGGGCATCTGACTTGGTGGGATAGCCACTTTGCCTTGCCAGTCTCCTCATCACATCACCTCCATATCCCTCGGGCACAGCCAACTCCACCTCCGTACCAGGCATCTCCTCCTTATACTGCTTGGACACCTGAATATTTCCAGTCTGTCTGTTCCCATGGTATTTTCAAATAAAGGCTGCTGTCTTCCAGGTGCAGCTCTCCATGTGCTCTTGGAAGGAATGTCCTCTTCATTGGCCACTGTTTGTTCCCCACTGATTCCTTTCTCTATCTTTACAATCAAAACCATTTGAAGTACAACACATGCCTTCAGACTTTATCATCCATGTCTAACCTAAGTGGTCAACTTATATCAAATTCCAGGATACATCTCCAAATTCCTTGATAACTTTAGCTCCTGGCTCACTCTCTTCCATTTTCCCTGGTATGCTGATGGATTCAGTGTACTCACTGTTGTCCACCCAACACCTAGGCTTCTCCTCTAATCCAATACTTTCTCATCCTCCATCTTACTCAGTTGCAACTGTGGGGAGGACACAGGAAGTCAATGGAGCTTCGCCAAGAAGATGTCAGTGTAAAATTCGAATTCCAGCCCTCCTGTGGACTACACCATCATAGCTGTGCAGTCAGTCGACATTTATGGGACAATCAACCGTAATGTCTCTGTATTCAATACTGGTTGACTCTAGGAAAAACAATTGGGGACAAGTCAGTTTTCTTATTGTCTGAAGGTCAAGATATCCCAGGGAGAAGTATCACAGAGGAAAAATCAATAGCAGCTCTCATAAATGTCAGCGTCAAATGCCATTTGAAACTTGTAGAAAAGGTTAATGATATCTTGTTCTTGAGTGTTTTAGAATTCATTATTGGATAACATAGAAGGTACAATGACTGCTCTGTCTGTAAGGACAAAATAATTAGCCGGAGCTAGGTAACTAGCCTCTGGTAAGCTAAAAAAGAGTCTGCTAATAAAAGCTGAAAGTGATGGAGTTTGTGTGCTGACAAAACACCCAGGGACCCGAACACAGCAGGTCTCTGTCATCCATGTGAGCGCTCAGCACTGGCACTGAAGTTGTCATTGAACACTGGCAGCAGCAGAGGTCATGAAGGAGCAGAGAATTCCTAGTACAAATAAATGGCAGCAAAGCATTCTGTAGGGAGGCATTAGTGGAGACACAGGTTTGCTACGGAACTAAATGAATCCCCAGAGAACAAGTTGGGATGTGCCAGGGCATTGTGAGACAAGGGCTTTTGTGCCAATTTCGAGTGCCGATGTCTCTTTGGTCACCATGGAGAAGTAGTAGGATGAGCTTAAACACCATGTGTTGGAAATTCCTTAAGAATGAGTCAGGAATGAATGTCTCGTCTTTGGCAAAATGGGGCTGAAATACTTCAACGTCAGATTTGGGATCTACTTAGCCACAGCTGATTAAAGAGGAAATAATGTATCCCACATTTCGAATGGACAAAATTTTAAAATTAAAACCGATAGGCTTCAAGAGCATCTCAGATTTCCTCAAGGACAGGATAAATAAAATCCACCAACTTTTCAAAATTAGAAATGCACCTGACAGCTATGTGAAAAATTTTCCTGTTTAGAGGTGAACAAGGCAGGTTCAAATTTCATTCATGAGTTCATAATCATCCTAATATGAGGAGAGCATATCCTCAATATACTTTGGCAACAGATAATGTGTCAGGATCTTTCGGTCTTGGTAAACAAACAGCTCATTTTTCTTTTTCTGTTATCTCCACCTCCCACTCTCAGATTTTCTTTGCTGCTCAAAGGACAGGAAAAGCTGAAGTCTTCCTCATCACTTACTGTCCCAGATGGTGGTTTGGGCAGAATTCCCAGGACAGTTCTTTTTATTCTTTGTGTTCTCATCTGGGGTTCTGTAATCAAGTATTTTCTTTCTCCAATTTGTTTCTTCCTATCGGGAGGGTTTACCACTTACTGCCCAGACGTGAGCTTCAATTCTGGGAATAAACAAACCATCTAAAAGATTATGTCTGAAAAAAAGTGTAACCTAAGTGGGATTTTGGTAATAGAAATTTGTATTATTTGACCCACAGGACATAATTGGAATATAAGGTGATTCCACATGATCAGCCTTTGGCAAATAGACTGTCTGAACCCATGTTAAAAATGACAATGCACAAATTCCTTGAGAATCACACGAAAGGTCGTTCTCCTGCACTGCAAGGTCAAAATAAAAATATGGCTGGGGTGTCGGGGATACAGTGGGTCACACCATTGCTTTGGTCTCCTGCGTCCCATACTGAAGTGCCTGGGTTGAGTCCCAGATACTCTACACTTCGGCACAGCGTCCTGCCATGCACATGGGAGACCCAATGGAGTTCCTGTTTTTGTTTTTGGTTTGGTTGCGTGTGGGGGCCCAGCCTGTCCCAGATACTGCAGGTATGTGGAGGGTGAACCAGTGGATGGAAGACATCTCTTCAGCATTCTGCCTTTCAAATAAATACATGTAAAAGAAAAAAGAAAAAAATATAATCCCGCATGCCACATTGAAACCTAGTGGTTCTGTATCTCCCATGCACAGCAATATGAGAGAAAGGGAAATGGCTGAATATGCATGTAATTATTGCTAGTAGTAGTGAGGTGCGGAGGGCAGTGAACGCGAAGGTAGCCGAGTCCACAGGCAGGGGAGCTCTGTTCATTTTCATACAACCAAATCCCAAAGGGCACATGTTCAATTCTTGGACAGAATGGTGTGGAAAATGGACCTGTTGTCATTTAAGATAAGGGCCCAAAAGATAAGCAAGTACAATGTGATGGTTACAATGATGGATATTTATAAGATGGCATTTAAAGTGGTATATCTAGGGCGAGCATTTGGCTTTCTGCTTCAGACACCACTCTTCCACTCTGAGTACCTGGGTTGGCTTCCCTGTTCTGCTTTGGTTTTCAGCAAACGTTATCCTGGGAGGCAACCTGTCATGGCTTAAATACGTAGGTCCCTACCAACCATCTGGTAGACCAAGATTGAGTTCCCAGTTTCTGATTTAATATTAATTTGGGCGCACATTTGGGGAATGAACCAGCAGATGAAAGAATTCTGTGTTTTATCTGCCTTTCAAATTTAAAAAGCAAAGAAAATATTAAAATAGTTGTTTGTGCAATTAGATTATTTCTTTAAATAAGATGACATATGTTTGTTCTCCTGTGCAGAGGGAATAAGCATGTGTATGCTCAGACTGAGGTGAGGGTGCCAGGTGAAACAGAGCTGTAGAGACTCCAGCCCAGCAAACACAAGCTGCAAAAACCCAAATCCAAAGAACAAATTGTTCTGAGTATACAGCAGAAAAAAAAAATGGCTATTCTCACTATGGCACAAATACCTCAGACTGAAGAAAACCTTCATGGTATGCTAATGTTAGAAAGAACACATCTACTCCCCAATTTACTTTCTCACAATAGGCTGGCATGAAAAAAATTGGGACACCTGAATTGAAACCTGAATACCGCTGGCGGCATTGTGGCACAGTAAGAAAGCTGTTGCCTGTGAAGCTGGCATCCCGTATGGGTGCCAATTCATGTCCCAGCTATTCTACTTCTGATTCTGCTTCTTGCTGATGACCAGCAGAAGATGCCCCAAGTCCTTGGGCTCCTCCACTCATGTGGATGAGCTGAAGAAGCTACTGGCTTCTTGCCTTAGCCTGGCCCAGGCACGGGTGTTATGACCATTGGGGAAGGGCAGGTGGAAAATATTTCTTTTTGTGTCTCCATTTTTCTCTGTAATTCTTTCAAATAAATGTTTTGAAAGGAAACATGGGTAGCAAAGTAAGATCTTTAGTAAATATTAGGTGTACTAAAAAAATACTAAAAATAAATGACTGAAACTGAAAAGAATAGGTTAAAAATAGATTTATCAGGACAAATAAACTTTCCTAGACTTCAATTAAAATGACACTTTTCCCTTTTTTCTTAAAGGAAAAAAAATCCTGCATGAACTATAAACAACTTAAATGCTTCTTAGGTTTGTACAGCATATCCCTTTCTCTGTAATGGAGACTGGTTTTTCTCTGGCCAGAAGCAGCCTTTCCTCCAAGTGATTTTTATCTTGGAAGACACCGCCCCCTACTGAAAGATGTGCTTAACTGCAGAGAATTTTCCAAGAAAAAGATACAAATCATTAAAGTGAAAGACTTTATTTTGAATAATAGCATACATATCAATCGTTCCCATTTAATTGTCATAGTGCACAGCTATATGTGGGAGTATAATAGAGAAAAGTAAACATCAGAAATATCCAAGAATGGAAATTTTTGGCAAATAAGACATTCTATAGATCCAGCAACAGGCGTAGATGTAACACAAGAGGGTATCTGTTAGATAAAAATAAAAGCCATGCAAAAAAATCTCTTCCAAACCAAAGCAGACAAGTGCAGCTGGGACAAGTCATAGTTCCTTGGGTATAAAAAACTATATATGCTGTCTGAATTGAAAACACTATAAAGTGAATGGCTTGCTTTTTATATCTAGGTCGAAACTCATCCATAGAAATAAACAAGTATGGATGCTTTTATGCCACATGTGATAATCAAATATTCAAGGCCACATATATATGGAGGTAACCAATACTGAGAGGTAGGGTAAATAAAAAAATAGAGAAATGCAGTAAAGAAAGTGCTACTTCTGCTTAAATCAGGAAATAGCAAATGCATAGGCATTAAAATAGCAGCTCTAAACACTACATCGCATCTCTGCTTCGTCAAGAACAATGCACTGAATGACATCAGGCAAATAATGTAGTCTCAGCATCAGGGCACATTTAATTTCCTTTTCCCTTTAGACATGAGGGGGAAAGAGCACAGAACTCGAATCACCCATCTTTCCATGCAGCACTCTAGCCCTGAAGTAGTAGATATTCCATGTACAGAACAAGGGCAGGAGAGATATGGAGATTAACAAGCCCAAGCTTCCAATTCAAAGATTTCATTTTTGGAAAGCTAAAGAAAGACAAGTCTTTACATGCTTCTAAAATCAAACAGGTTTTAAAAACTAAGCAGGAAAAAAAAAACTGAAAAGGAAAAACAGCAAAGAAGGATATCGAACGAAATCTCTTGCTTTCCTTAACTGTTTCTTTTCCTTTTATTATTATGTTTTGAAATTGCACTTTACAGTAGAAATGCATGCCCCCTTGGATAGATAATGGCTCAAGACTGCTCAGTGCTCTTCTTCTAAGACATCATCTTCTTACACTCCACTGAACAGAAAACCATGCCCTCCACGGGCATGAACTTCTGCCCGATGAGACACTTGCTGCAGCACGAGCACAGAAAGCACTGGGTGGACGCATGCCAGCTGAAGTCGTTGTAGGTGACCCGCTGCACTTCTGGGTCGATGGCATTGTGGCATCCTTGACACACCTGTTCAGTAACAATACAAAGAAGGATGAGTGAAAGATCAGATCAGCTGTGACGGCAGCATCCTTGAGACAGAAGGAACACCTTTCTCAAATGCCACACGAAGAGTGACAATCTCAAAACTTGCATGACTCTGGATGACCTGCTAGTTAAACTCTTCCCAGGGCTGTTGCTAATGGGGGTCTGTATGCTCAAGATGGTGAGAAATGAAAGTTGAAGACCAAATGGGTGACTTGATACATGCAAAACAGTCCCAAAGAGCTGTGTGCTTGGTTCTAGCATGTTCCGTTCGATTGCATATTAGTAACTATAAGGAAGTTTATGAAATGGTATTTTCTCACTCATTAAATTTTTGAAGTGGTAATTTAACAAGTCTTACCTATGACACATTATTAACACCACTGATTTCTAGACAGTAGTAAATTAAAGTCATGCTCAAAGTAATTAAGGACTCAATTAAAAATACTGGCACTGTTTGAGAATAATGAGCTTGCATTAAAAATCAACTTCCAGTTAATTGGCTTCTGTTTGTCATGAGATCAGTCATAATTTATGATAGTTTATTACTGTAGAACATATTACTTATAATACCTGTTTTGTTATATTATATATTCAAACTTTATGCAGACATATATAGCTCAAATACATACATATGCAACCACAAACATCCACATGTACCCAGTTTTAACGGCCATGTAAAGGAAGAAAATAAATGAATCAAACTACCCAGTTGAAACCTCTACAAACACTGGCAAGACGACACGAGTTCTTGTTTACACATGTTCTGAGTCAATGTGATGGCTTCAAGTGTCTACTTAAATTATTCTAGAGCATGTGAAGACACCCGCAAGACTGTCCAGGGCAAAGTGTTGGTCTCAACACTCCTGCTCTCTGAATGTGACTGCCAAAAACCCCTGAGATTTGATGGGTGGAAAATGCACGAGTGGAGGGAGGGGCATGGCTTCTCTACTTGACAAGACTTCCAAGAGAGGCTGCCTCTCAACGCGTCACTGGGTGCAGGCAGCGAGGCAGCCGCAGTCCCGCCACACACGGCCATTTCAGACCCGCCACACACACTTTCCCTGTCTTTAGAACAGCACTGCTTCTATTTACAGATGAACCTGCTTTTCCTAGATGAAGGAGACACTTTCTCTGCACCATCAATGAACGACTCCCGAACACAACACAAACAAATGCGATGAGCGCAAGCACATTTCCAGTTGGTCATGCTACCATTCAAGCATGAATATATTCTCACGCACTTTCTTTTCACAGTCTGCTTAGTATGGTTTCTTGTCAATTTCTGTATTTCATATGACTTCATCTTTCAGTATTCTGAAGCATGCTTGTATCAAATGGAAGCATTTCAGTCAATGTTTTACTCCTCTGCTTCCAGCAATTACCTCCCTCCCTCTCTGCAGCCTCTGTGTACTGGTGTGACCCTTTCTACCGTTATATTCATTTTCACTCTACCAAAAGAGAACTACCATTCAGTGACACATGAAATTAAAGAACTTATTTGGGAAGAACAAAAACTGATGAGGAGCATATGAGTGATGTAACAGAATTCAGAATTTGTGGTTTCATAATATTTTTGATTGTTGTTCATCTTAAAGCACCACAGATCAGAAACAATATCTACCATCACTATAGCAGGTGGCTTTGGAGCAAGGTGAAAAGTTCCAAGCCATTACAACAATGGAAATTTCAAATAGAAAACAGGCTGAAACAGAATTTTAGCTATGAGGATCTGAGATATATTAATGATGCAGAGTTTTTTAAAAATGAATAATTGGATGCCAGCATTGTGGTGCAGTGAGTTAAGCTGCTGCCTGTGACACTGGCATCCCATGTGAGGGTGCCAGTCCAAATCCTGGCTGCTCCACTTCCAAGCCAGCCCCGATGATGCGCTCAGGCAAGCAGCAGAAGAAGGCCCAAGGGGGATAACTTAAGATAGCTGAAGGCAGGCAGGTGTAGCTGTGTGTGCAGAAAACTTAGGGACAGGATCCAGCAGAGTGGAGAGCTGGAAGAAGAGAACTGACGGGCGAGGTGACCAAAACTCTTTGGAGTCCACCAGAAGAAGGCAGGTGCCACGCAGGTGAAGAGGAGCTGCTGAAAACGCTCAGGATTGCAGCTGGAGTCCAGGAGGGTGAATGCAGACTGCAACCAGGGACAGAGGCAAAAGCCTGGGAAGTTTTTAACCAGTACAGGGAGACTCCTGGCGGGAGTCTTTGTCTCCCCCAAGGAGTCGGTGGGAGGCAAAGGAACCCATAGGACGCATCACTGGTGAAGGAAAGCAAACCTGAAGAGAAACCCACAGGCATCAGATCAAGTGCCTCCCATTCTGAGGAGGGCAGGCATTAAGGGAGGGAGGGAGCAGCTGGAGAGTGGGCCACGGATAAGCGGAGCGAGAACTGAGTCAGCCCACACCTGAAGGATCTGTACCCTGACCCCCTGCCACCAGAGAGCTGTCGGAATCAACAGAGAGGAAGACACGGGATCCCTGGGCAACAGCATGTGGACTCATACTCCAAGTAGCAGGAAAATGTGGACACCCTGGTCGCACAATACACCTTCCCGATGATTGCTCCAGCCACAGCTGTCAGCTTACAGATCTGCTCTGGTCTATGTGTCCCACCTGCTGCCTGAAGAAGGCAGGTCAAAGAGAAACCCTCCCCAAGCAGGTGCTCAGCGGGTGTCCCTGTCCCTTAGCAGCCTCCTGGACCCCAGACAGGCGTGCCAGAAAATGCCAGCAAACGCCAGAGACTGAAGGCCCCGGGGGCACATACATCCACAGATCCGAAAGGCTGTGGGGAAAGGCAGCAAGACAGGAAGTAACAGATGTGGGAGCTAGTGTTTCCCTCAAAAATGAGAAAAAGATCACATCAAGCTTAGAGTTGCAGGATGAAGACGTTGAGGGGCTCCCAGACAGGGGATACAGAAGATGACCCCAGGTCTTGGGCCCCTGTGACCCATGTGGTGTTCCAGGCTCCTGGCTTCAGCCCAACCAAGCCCTTGTCACTGTGGCCATTTGGTGAGTGAACCAAGGGCTGGAAGATCTCTGTGTGTCTCTGCCTTTGAAATAAAACTTTAAAAAATGAATAATCGTATGTACGACAATGGAATTGGAGGAAATTGGCCTTGATATTAAGCTTGTTACCTTATTTCCATGGTATCACACTCTTGAACCACATAAATAAATTATTAGAGTCCTTAGCCAGGAGTCTCCCCTGCTTAACGGCTCAGGAGGACTTTAACTAGCACGTTTTCCAGCATAGAAAGAATTAACAGTCATTCCTGATACTCCCAACTCATAAACCTCACCTTATATGGTCAACTTTATGCCCTTTATCTATATTATCTATCTCTTGGCCATCAAACAATAGCAGTTCTGTGTAAGCAGAGGAGAGAAAAGAAGAAATACACTTTCACATTAAGTACTTCAGCGTGAGGTCCCACATAAAAATCGAAATCTACAGATCAAATTCTGTCATACTAAATCAGTTCAAATAGGCTTTAAGAAACAGGGACTGAACAACTTCCAGGTAACAAAACCACGTCCTAGTGGGTGGTCCAGCAATACAAAGCACACACACACAGAGTGAAGGAACATGAAGAACACATGGGCACGTGAGTTAAATGAAATCTGGTCTGTAACGCTTACCGTTATGCTGTAAATTCATATAGAAATATGCAGGCTACCCAAAAATGGCATCTCTATGAGTGGGATTGCCATCCTGGGGTTTGGCTGATATTCACAGTCTTTGTCTATACTACTGAGGAAGATGGGTTTTTTTCCCCTGCCTACTAAGTGTTGCTATGTACCTAATGGTGTATTAAGCCTATGATTGTGAAGTAAAATGTGTCATAAAAATTATGAAAAAAAAAAAAGGAAGGAAGGAGAAGGGTGCGTGGGGAATGTAGGCAGGAGAGTGAGTCAGGTGGGCAGTAGCCCCGTGTTCCTAGATCTGTTGTAAAATGTGTTCACTTTATACAAATCCAGCTCATTGTTTAGCGGGGCGGTGCAGGTGGAGGCTTCCCCGGCGGCTGCTCACCACGGCATGGTTCTTGAGGTAGCACGGCTTGCACACAGGCTTGTCGCTGACCATCACGTAGATCTCCCCAGCCAGGATGCCGTCACAGTCAAAGCAGCAGAAGTGTTTCAGATGCCAGTTCTGGTTCTCTGCCTGGGTGTACTCATTGCTGAAAATCAGCTGCAGAAAGCATGAAAACAAGGCGAATCAGGCTTTTCCTCTTTACTGTGGATGACACAAAGCTAGGTCGTTTACAGAGGAACGCACTGACTCAACAAACACATCAGTCTGCTGTCAGAGTTGGAAGTCTGAACGCGATCATCTAAAGCTTGAGCCTTCCACTTAATTTACCATTAAATCCAAATCGGTGGCTATGCCCAGTCTTTCCTTAGTCAACACAATGAACTAGGGCACTCAGAGTGAATGAAATCAACAGTTTTTTCGTTTAATTTCTTGGGATATCTACAAAGCAACTGACGTTTGGTTAGTTTTGGTTGCTTGCCGGGCAAGAGCCAGCAGGCGGCCGACTGTAAGGTCATACCTCATCGCAGCCGGCACAGCGGGGCTTCTCACTGTCACAGTAGTGTCTGCCGCAGAACAGCTTCCCGTTCTTCCAGAAATAGATCATGTCAACCAGGAGTTCCGAGCAGGCGCTGCAGGTGAAGCAGGCTGGGTGCCACAGCCTGTCATAGCCAGCCCTCTCGGCGTAGACGGCGGGCTCGCCTTCCTTCATGAGCAGCTTGCAGGAAGAGCAGAACTGAAAGAGAGGGCATGTTAAACCAGCCAGTCACTGGGAGCCCAACATGTACTTGTTTTTTTAAATCCTGGTCTAGAATCCTGCCTAATTTAGCATCATCTGCCGAAAAGGCAGCTTCGTGGTCATTTTCACCCTGATTTGATGTAGGTTCTCTCCAGACTGATGACCTCAGAGATTGCTAATAGTTCTTTGTCAGGACCCAGCCTGACTGGCTGGATATGCTAGCTGGATCTCTGTATTACAGGTAAGTTTAGTTCTGCCTTGCTCGTCTGAGTCACAACATTTTCATGCTACCAGAAAAGACTTTACATTTCCCTCTCTAGGAGAATGGGGGGGAAAAAAAAAGCCTGATCATATATCCATGAAAGTCTGAATTTTGGGGCTATACTCCTAAACAAAACTGAGTTAATCAAAGTGCACATTATTCTCATGTGTGGGGAAGTGATGAGCACTTAGCAGAACTGTGTTTAGAAACAAATTCTAGATTCGTATGTTGGATTCAAGCAGGATGCCAATGCCAACTACTGTGTACAAAAGTCTATCCTGGATTTTAATGAACTTACTTCTCTGAGTCCCTCTGGGAACTGAAAAAGAGTCCTTCCCCTGTCCTGCCTGCAAGAAGTTCAAAGTAAGGGAAAGAAGCTGTGACACATAAAACCAGCAACTGCACTTACATACTGTGTTCTTTTTTGCTCGGCAGATTTGCTCTCTGCAGCCCCCGTGACTGCCGGGGTGCCTCTGTCCCCCGCAGGGAGGTAGAGTTTGTCGATGCCTGGAGTCCCCATCTCATAGGGCAGTTTGACGTCTCCCACGCCCAGCGCCTCGTTCTTGTATTTCTTCACAAACTGCTCCATCTCCTTCACCTCTTTGGGAGACAACTCATGGCACTTGGAAGGGTCCTGGTCGTGTGCCGGGAGCTGCTTTGCCAGCTGCTTCTTTCGGTACTGTGCCCCCTCCGAGCCTGCCACCGGCTGCTTCTCCTTGGGCAGCATCTGCATGTATTGCCTGGCCTGCAGCACAAGGAGACCAAGGTGAACGAGGGGAAGGCCCGGGCCGACAGACAGGGCCACTCTGCACAGCGTACACCAGAAGCTTCTTGGGAAAAAAGTGGGTTTCTTCCATCCCACAGACCGTGTGAAGAACTCGGGGAAATAACATCAGAAAGTGATTATGCTAAATGGATTTAGCTGGGTAAGAAAAACACATTTCTCTCCATGACATTAAAAAGAGAAAGAAAAAGCTTTGCAACCTGTAAAATGACTTGGGTCACAACGAAAAACTTGTGCTAAGTGAACCCAGGTGCCAATGAAGGAGAACACGAGGCAGGCACAGTTATGACAGCCTGTGGACCAGCGGTGCTTCTGCCGTGGGAAGCAGCGCACAGAAAGACGCACTTGGTGACTTAATTAACCTTCTACAAAAGACATGGATGCTATCCTGGAGTCATTACACCAGCGGCAGGAGCTTGACACAAAACTGCACATTTTGCCTCACATGGTGAAAGAAATATAGTAGGGGAGATTTTTTACAGTTTCCATCAAGGGCAGGAATTCTTTTCTTCAGTACTCCTTTACCATTGTAAAATCTTCTCTAGGCTAACATAGAATTATCAGGTTGATTTAAAAAAAATCTTTTCATCTCATGAGTAAGAATGCTAAGACTATTCCATAAAGAAGCTAAATGTATACACGCAGCTGGAAAATTCTAGGCAATAGCTAGCCTGACTTTCCAAAGACTATATATAAAAATTAGTTATGGAAATGCCAGGGAACTGATACACGTGTCAATGAACTGCTCTAAATGGTTAAGGAATGTCAATCAACACCCCTTCACCCTGCTGTTTACCAATGCCTGGTTCTGGACAGGAGGCGCCCACTCATAGGTGACGGTGTTGATGGAGACATTCTTCTTGGCAGCAACTGGGTTGGTCAGTATCATGACGTTGCGTTTGTACGTGGGAATTCCGTCCGACTTCAGCTTGGCGATCAGGGTGGTGTACTTGGTGTCTTCAAAGAGCCGCCCCACTTTCCGATCCTCTTCGTTGCTCAGGAGAACATCGTGCTCTTCTTGACCACACTTGCAGTTACGACATATTTTTCTATTATTTTGAATAAGTAAGAGAGACTGGTAAGGAAAGGATTCCGCGAGGGGATGTTTGGGCTGAGATCTGAAGGATGTGTAAAACACATGTGCCCAGAGTGATGTGGGCGGGGCCGGGACAAGAAAAGAGAAGAAAAAGCTCCCAACCTTGGAGGAGGAAGAGAACCAGGGAATGATATGTGATGCATCTGAGCTGAAGAGATCACGCCACCACCTGGGAAGGGCTCCGAGCTGAAGTAAGGACTCGGCACAGAAACTGGCAGAGAACAGAAGCTGGAAAAGATGACTCAGGACAAGAGAAGTGGGAAATGTGTGCTAAACATTTATAGTAAAGTACAGGGCAATGAGAGCATACACACAAGGCTGCGGTGCTTTAAAAAACACTCTAAGATCCTTACACCATTCAGGAAAATACTGAAGAGGATTTACCCTATTTCAACTGATGCTGTGAGGTTAAGTATGCATGTTAAAAAACCTAGATGCCCAAAGACATTGATGATTCAAATGTTCATACTGGGAAGAAAAAAAAAACAGCTTATTTTACATTAAATGTTCAACTCTGTAAGTTAGGGGAAAAGTAAAAACAGCCTAAAGTGCAAGAAAGGAAAATACAGATAGCAGTGGAAACTAATTAAATGGGGTGTTTGCTTCTCATTAGAGAGAGAGAATGTGCAGCACACTTCTGCGTCTCTTATGACCCCATGCTGCTCAGTCACTTCAGCCATTAGAATTCTAGAAAACCCTTCTGGGAAAGCCAGCAGATACTCTGCAGACATTACACCTAACAGACCAACTTAAGATCTGAAACAAGAAAGCTGCATTGGTCTCATCAATTCTATTCCTATTGCCCTGTGGGTGTTCTTCACAACACGGAGAGCAGTCAACGAACAGGCATTATTAAGGATTTATTAGACAGGAAAAAAGGACAACAGCAATGCAGCAGCAGTAAGGAGAGTTCAGTAAGTTTTAAGATTAGATTTATCAAATTTTAAGATTTAGTAAGATTTAAAATAAATGCAAATCATGGAATTTATTTTAGAAATAGAAAAAAATACTAAAAACTCTTAAGTGATGCTCTTTGCCAAATAAATCAGATTTGTATAATCTCTTAAAATTCCTTTTTAGTATACAAACTGAACAACTGAGATCATTAGAGCAGCAGATGACACGTAGGGAATGGCGAGGCCACCTACATTTCTGCTGCACACATTTGTCAGGAATCCAGGTACCCATCTGATGAAGCACCCACACATCCAGTCACAGCGCAAATCAGCGTACACTGGGCTGTCCCACACCCCCACCTAGCGGAAAGTGTCTTGTACAGCTGCAGGATTCTCTTCAATCCTTTTTTTCAGTTAACAAAAACTAGAGAGTTATTTGCAAACTGATCCCATTGCTTTGGATCAAGTTTAAAGCAATACCTTCCAAGGAAGAGACAAGGAGGAGAGGAGGGGGGAGGCTTCAGTTCCCAGCATAGCTGGATAGGCCCTTCTATGGCTGGTGACCATGGCATGCGTATGCATCATGGACAACAGGATGAACAAAAGGCTCCCGAGTCAGTGATAAATCCTGGGTTTATCATCTAGTTTTATACCTCTAGTTTTATACCTCGACACCATGAATATTACAAAATAAGGTGGGAGCGGGGTCAGACACAGGAAGTATAAGAAGCCTGTTGGGATCTGAGGAATGACATATAGGAAGCTATACCTTGGGTAAGTAAATGACCTTGCTTTCAAAGTGCTGATGCAGTTTATATTAACCAGTGACAAGCTCTGTCATTTTTAAAACTATTATTCGTCTTAGCCATTCTTTGAAGAATTCACATTCTGAACAAATCTTTGTTTTCCTGCCTATCCCATGTACCCTGATGGTGGTAATAAAGGAAATGTAGTTTTAAAATAAGAAACCAAACAAACCAAATGAGTCCTACTATGCTTGGTTATCAGGTTTAAGCAGAGAAATTCTATGATTCCTCTAGTCATTAAAATGTTTCAATCTAGGCTATAGGTAAGCCTCAGCTGTATACTCAGCGAACTCAGCGAACTGTGGAGACATGGCCACGGGAAGACCATGACTCAGGAGGCTGGACACGATCCTCTGCTGTGCTGTCACGCGGAAGCCACGGGGAGAGCATGATGGTTCAACTGGATAATCATCCACCTACAGGTGTCAGCATCGCAGGTAGGTGCTGGTTCATGTCCTGAATGCTCTACTTCCCATCCAGATCTCTGCTTACTGTCTTGGCAGAGCACTGATATATGGCACAAAGCCTTGAGACCCTGCACCTGTTTGAGACCCTGAGGGATCCTGGCTTCAGATCAGCTTAGCTCTGGGCCATGGCAGCCACTTGTGGAGTAGGCCAGTGGATAAAATATCTCTTTCTCTTTTCCTCCCTCTCTCTCTGTGAAGTCTGTCTTTCAAATAAAAATAAACAAAACATTTTTAAAAGGAATTATATACTCCTATAATTTTAATGATTTTGTGATGACTTTAAAATTCGCTTTGTGTGGAGTTGATCATCTTCTCATTTGCATACTATGTATAAACCCTTGATCACTGGCCTGCTGACCTAAGCCTGACCCAGCACTCAGGAGGTGAAGAGTGAAGGGCCCCTCTGTTTCTTTCTATTTCTTCCTTTCTCTGTTGCTCTGCCTTTCAAATACATAAATCTTAACAAAACAAAAGCCATAAGCAACCAAAAACCAGAAATAAACTCTGCATGAGTGAGCAAGGTTTGCATGTTATCTTTCCTCAGTTGATTCCCAAATGATTTCTGATGAAATATGGAGGCTTGGCTAGTCTCTACCACATTGATTTGTATGACAGTAATTTACGGCTTTTTCAGGAGTTTATAAATCAGCTTCCAAACTTGGCACAGACGCTACATCTTGAAATTTTCCAAACAGTTTTATGCAGCAACTCTCTCCAGAGTCTTCATGGGATGCTAATAAAAGTCACTTGTGGAACAAGAGGAGGAGGGGATGCAGAATAAAGTTAATTCAAACAAGCTCTTTTATGAGTTTTTTAAAAGATGCAAAGATATAAGTCCTAAGGTGTCCGGGTATGATGGTTACTTGTACTAAAACGTCATTTGTACAATAAATTTTTAGTGCCTTAACACACATAGGCACACAAAATACTACCAGGCATGACAAATCAAAATTCTATGCTCAAAAATTGGTATTACAACTTCAAGATTCTTGAGGCTGGAAGATGAAGGAAGAGAGAGAAATTACAGCTTTAGAAAAATTTAGAAATGTACAATCGAAAGCAGTCGAAGAATTAGCTCTCATCTGCCCAAAGAGAGAAATGTTTTTCATTTCACTATTCATAAAAATGATCATTTTTCCAAGGCGAGTGGCAGGAACTGGAGGCTCTGACATGCTGCCAGCAGTCATGGTGATTTAAAGGCATGGTCATGGCACTGCTACAAACCATAATTTTAGAGGGCTGGAGGCTGTCCTTTCCCCACAGGGATACACATATATGGGCTTGGGCATGGACCTCTGGTGTAGAATTCAAGGCAACTATTAATCCATTTATGGTGGGGAATTTTCAGTTTTCGCCAGCTAGAAACCAATCAAGGACCTTGAGCAGAAGTATGCTAACATTAGGAAACATGGTTTTTATAAAATGAAACTGTTTGGAGGGATCTAACAAAGGGAAGACTGAACAACTTTGGTTGTCGCATTGCTGTGAGCTGGACTGAGAAGCTCCTGGAAGTGCTGGGTGTGCTATGGGTTTACCTCACAAATCGCTGCTGTCTCAAAGTGTCACGTGGCAGTTTGCCAAGGACAGAAATTGTTATTTTGGAGGTATTGGGTTTTCTTTCTCTACCCTTGCAATCTCTGGCGGACTGGACAAGGGGAGAACTCAGCTGAAGAACCCCAGGGATCCAGAAGACATTGGTGAGCAAACAAACGAAATAGCCATCATGTAGGCATGGTGCAGGTATAAGCTCGTTAGGTTGTTTCTAATCTGCCAAGTGGATGATCAGGAAGATGCTACCAAGCCTAGAATTCAACTGCAGCTCCTGCCATCCACACACTACCATTTGGGGAAGTTATTTCACTTTGCCAAGACTTCGATCTCGCACATATGAGTGGGTGGGGAGATCAAGCCCACAGAGTTCTGCGCAAGTGTGAGGACTGGTTCCAGGATCTTCTCCCTCGTGTTTCTCCCACGACTGTACTACTTCATGGGGCGCATGGAAGATTATTCAGCCATCGGATCTAGTCATCTCTGTCCCTTACAAAGTGATATATTTTCTCTGGTAACAGAAAGAGAAAGTCAGAGGTCTCCAAGATCCAGGAAGGATTCTAAGCCCCTTCCTTGGTCCTGAAGATGCACAGAGCTGAGGATGAAGGAATGCAAACTGACAGCCAGCAAAAGCAACATGAGCAGAGCCAGGTGTGAGCTAGAAAAGAGGCCTCACCAGAACTCAACTGTGCCAGTGTCCGGAATTGGGAGAAAATCAATTTCTGGTTAAGTCCCCACGTCTACGATATTTTGTTAAGGCACACCAAGCTGACTAACTTGAGGAACCAGGAAGATTCCTCTGAGGTTGCGCTTGACTGGGACAGTTCTTGGTTCTTGAATGTGGCAGAGAGAGTCTCTCTGGGGAGGGGACACACACAAAAAGGCACAGAACTGCAGGGAATAGCACATGTGTCAAGCAGATGGTGCACAATGCTGGGAAGGGAAGCGAGAGAGGCTGGACAAAGCGAGCCAAGGCCAGACACAGGGGTCTGCTAGCAGAGACCAACAACTTTGCTAAATGCTCAAGTATCGTGGAAAGAGCTGAGAACCCCTGAGTTATCAGGGAGTATTTCCCAGAAGCCATCTTCTGGAAGCCTTCCCGTGGTTGCAAGGAATAAGACCTATGTATGGATGGAAAATAACCAGATTTCTCACTGTTCTAATGAAACATGAAAGGTCCTAGAAGTTAAATGATACCCCCAAAAGAGAGGAGGAGGCTCCTGGCACCCCATGTCCACCCCAACCAAAGTCTGGGGCTCCGTGGCCCTAGATCAGATCTGGGCTCTTTGTTAGGCTGCTTTACTTAAAGAGCATGCTGAGAAATGGCAGCCCTGGGGGCCAAGGACGCTCCAGGGCTGGTGAAGACGTCAGGGAATGACTGCCCTCTGGCAGAGAAAGTGATCTGGCCTTCACTAAAAACATCCCAGGCCCAGGACTGCACCAGCCCCCAGGGCAGACAGCAGGCTGCTCCCATAGCCCTTGGCGCTTAGGGCTCCAGGACCCTAGGGCTAACACCAGTTGATACAATGAATCTTACTGTGATAAAACCAAGATAAAAGGGTAATTGCTATAATTGTCATGTGTGGAGCTCTGCTCTGATTCACTAGCATCTGGAAATATCAGCTCAGAGGGCATTATTAATAGAAAAATATCACAGAATAAATATCACTATAAATAAGGTCTTTGTTTCAGGGAATGGTGAGATGTCTTAGGAAGGAGCTTTACAAACCTCTAGTAGTTGCACAGCTTAATGAGGAAGATTATCCTGAGAGCGTAAGTAAACACTCTGGCCAGCAGAGGGCGCCATAGCCCTCTGGCAGGAGAGGCTGTGCTCACAGTAAGAGTTTAAAGATTTGACTGCTCAAAAATCATTTTGTACTTAATGACTTCATCTTTTTAGAAAATAACAGGCATTCTGCCAGCTGCTATGTCCCTTGGAAAAGCAGCAACACAAGAACAGCTTTACACATCTGGCTAAGAAAAAAGCAAGCAAGCAAGCAAACAAACAAAAAACTTCACAGAAATTCTTAGCTCCCTGCAAGTAAAGCACTGTATCATCACTTGTGGGAAGACCAAGGAATTTGTTGCCTTTATAATTCAAAACAACAGTCCCTGTCTCCAAAGCCGTATTAAGTAGGGAGCTTTCAAAAGAGCCTGTTGCTGGGAGTTATGTTGGTTTACATTGTCCTTTAACTTCCACTACGCGCTGCTCGCAAGGCTGATGCACCTGCTTGTTCCAGAGTATCCTACAGAAACTTGTAGCCCAGAAGTGGCTGTCATACAAGAGTAGCTGACAGAGGCCAGTTCTCATCCTAATATCCCAGTTGTCACCCATATTTTTATTCTAACAATAATATACCGATTCTAACCCTGGGCAGACCTTTGAACACCAAGTTTTAGATTCACAGGATACACAATGTTACTTTAAATAAACATAACCTGTTCAGAATTCTGTTTTCTGATCTACTAACAGTTGTCCTGCATATACGTGTACTTCATTCAAGCTGAGGTACTGTTAATAAATTGTTTTTGTTTGCTTCTGTCAAAAATATCGTAGTCTTTCTAAGTTTTTCAGTAGTAAACTTACAGCTAAAACTTTAGAAGAAACCTAAATTCAGCCTAATTTCTTGACAACTGAGAGGTGAATGCTGAATACACTACCAAAACTTACTATTTATTGCAGACACAGGACTGAACTGAGAGAAGTTGCCAGTCTTTGCAAAGGATAACACACACACTCACCTGGAGGATCCCCCAGGACCCTTGTTTGCCATTCAGAAGAGATATCTGCAGTAATCTAGACGCACAGGAAATCTCAAAAACAGCAAACAAACCCAGCAATTCTGAATAGTTATCATGGTCCATTCACTCCAGCTGAATGATAGGAAAACACACCAGCTTTACTTGGCACTCATTTCTTAGAGAAGGAAATATCAGCCCTGCAGCTCAGAAGCCAGTCCTGAGCAACCAGGAGAGATCTGTCCCAGGAAGCACTGGCAAGGAATGTGCATGACTAATGTTGTTGGTTTCCAAAGCATTACCTCCAGAAGTGCAGTTCAAATCCTTCACATTTTTCTTTGCATTTTAAACAGGGTGCTCCAAATCCTTGTTCATGACCTAAGCCCATCTGTTAAAGAAAAAAAAAAAACATGAATCTATTATTATGCTTTTTTAAAAAAAAATCTGAAAAATCCAATAAATCGCACTTCTAATCCCATCTGCCACTGCTGTTGATATAAATTTCAAACAAATATTTTAAGAGGATCACATTGTTTAGTCCATGATGATAGCCAGTTATGTAAATGGCAGCTCCAAGTTCATATACAGCCTGATGTTATTGCTTCTTATGAAAAACGAAGCATCAGAGTACAACTAAACATATAGAAGATTGTAAACACTGCAAGTCACAGAAAGTCATGAATTCATCTCTCTCACCAACAGGCAAAAGTACATCCACAGAGTTAGAGCTTAGAGAGCAAGCCTGGGGCCAGCATTGTAGCATGGCAGGCCAAGCTATAGTGTGTGATACCAGCATCCCATATGCTTGCCAGGTTGTGTCCTGGTCACTCCGCTTCCAATCCAGTTCTCGGCTAACGGCCTGGAGAAAGCAGTGGAAGGAAGATGGCCTAAGTGTTTGGGCCCCTGCCACCCACTGCTTCCTGGCTTTGGCCTACCCCAGTACTGGTTTTTGCAACCATCTGGGGAGGGAACCAGAAGACAAAAGATCTTTCTTTTTTGATCTCTTCCCCTTTTAGCTCTTTCAAAATAAGTAGGTTTTTTTGTTTTGTTTTGTTTTTGTTTTTAAGGGGGAAGGGAGAAAGCTTATAACAAACAAGCAATGTGTGATATATTAAAGAGTTGCAGTCAAAATAATATTTATATTATCCTAAAAATTAGTATCATCAACAAACATTACTGATTGCTAGAAATACAGGAAAGAACTTACACTTTCTTGTTAATATCTTTTTATTTAAACATTTTATTCATTTAAAAGGGAATTAGCACAGTGAGAGTGAAAGAGAGAGACAGAGGAAAGATCCTTCGTCCCATGGGTCATTCCCCAAATGTCTGTAATGGCCAGAACTGAGCCAGGATGAAGCCAGAAGCCAGGATCTCCTTCTAGGTCTCTGGGGGCCCAAGGATTTAGAGCATCTTCCACTACTTTCTCAGACGCGTTAGCAGGGAGCTGGGGCAGAAGCGGGCAGTCAGGACTAGAACTAGCACCCATATGGTGAGCATCTTTAAACATCTCACAACATGCTTACAAAGTCAGTTCTGTTATTCTCCATTTTACAGCTGACTTAACCAAAACCTAGAGAAGTAACAATGTTAAGATGGCAGTGTTCATGAAGCAGGGTAGAGCAGACACGAGGCCAGGTCTGCCTCTGAGGCCTGGGCCCCTCTGCCCATGATGGTGGGCTGCAGGCTGTGGTATTACCCTTTCCACAGGGAATTTTTATCATCATCATATTAAACAACCATCCTTGGTAAGTCTCTGAACCATGAACAAGCAGGAAGTAGCACGGAGGTCGTGGGAGGGGGTGAGAAAAGATGGCCATGTATTTCACCCAAAAACTCACCCCAGAATTTAAAAAGAAAAAATCATCTACTTTTGCATCAGATCATCACTAGTGACCAGGTTATCCAGCATGTTAACTACCACATCAGGAACTGACAAAGTCGTAGCTGCTGGTGTCTGCAGCAGAAGTGTAAGCTGGACAAACGTCCCTTTTTCAAGCATTCCATGGTAACATAACCAAGTCATGTGTGTTATTCTACACTCAAAACCACAGTGTAACGTGTTCCTTGAAAGAGCAGCATGGCAGGCCCTGATGTTGAAATGAAACACTTCTCTTTTCTGAAGGGGCCACATCCTCCCATGCATCCCAGGGCAGGTTCACACCGACTCGCCCCTGACTGGGCAGGAGAACCCAGGGTATTATCAAGTCAGCCTGTCTCAGGCATGTTATCCAGAGCATTAGCACGAATACACAGCATCACCTGTAGGAAGCACCAATATCATAAGAGCTGAACGTCTCTGCAGTGTTTGCTTAACATCAACACTGAACTGTTTCAGGAATCAAATTGCTTTCTTATCACTGAAGGTCATGATACAAAAGTAAAACGTGAATTTTTAAAACAGAAACACAGGAATTGTTTTTGTTTAAAAAAACAGCTTTTTTTTTTTCTTAACAGGAATTTCTTACTTGAGTTTTCTGGTCTTTGTAAAGACCATAATTAAGAATCTTCCCTGAACAGTGAATCTGCAAAGGTGTAATGTTTTCTGGCTGCTTCTAATTTCCCAATCTTGCAGGTTAATTTTTCTTGAATCATCCTGATGTATGCACTGGCTTCACACTATGGGGCACATCCATCCTACTCAACTATGACTACACAATGACAGGTAAGATGACATTTATCAAGGTCAAGTCACACCCCTTAGCCTGAACCAGTGCCTTTTAAACCCTCTTGGCATGTGGTTCACGGTAAGAAATACATTTGTCTCATGACACAGAACTCACACACACATATACACAAACAGGTGTGTATCCAACCCTGAGATTTACTATGGGCTTAGATGGTATGCCAAGCTAAGTGTGCTTCTGTCTGTATTTTAAATGGCCACCTAAACTAATTCTTACCTTCATTCTGAATCACCTTGTCCAGACAACTTCGAGCTTAAAAAAGGCTGACTGACGCTATGCTGACACAATCCTGGCCCATTCTGTTTCTCAAAGTCCAGCCAATGTAATCGGAACCTCCACTCAGCAGCAGTGACCTCTGCAGAGTCACTGCTGACTTACAAAGTGAACCCTTTGAAGGGTCACAGTCTTTCCAATCCCATCAATCCTCTTGAAATAGTAGTGCTTAGAACTGGTGATTTTCTCAAATGCTTGCACTCTTAAAGAATCTCCTCTCCACAGTTTGGGCAGGATGGGGCACTGCCTTTGTGGAAGCAGTCAGGAAGCCCAAATCCAGAGTGGACACATTACACTCCTGCTTGGCAAGTCAATGGCACTGGACCTTAAACTCTGCCATGTGAAACTCCTGCTCCATCATGCTGCGCGGCATCAAAGGAGAGCCCTTCAATCTTCCAAAGAGAAGCGCCAGCTTGCATCTACCCAAGATAAAAGAAGACACACTCACAACAACATCAGCAAGGTAGGTGACTTCCTGAGGGCTGCGTCAAGGGGACATCCAAATCTGGGAGGCCAGGAAAGCTTTCTTAGACTAGGCAGGCTTGAAATGATATTGAAAGGATGAGCAAGTTCCATCTTAACCAGGGTGCAAGGGGAATACATGTGGGGCTGAAAGCAGCACACACACCAAGCCCTGTGGCACAAGAGGGAGGGGACAGAGCCACAGTCACTTGAGAGCACTTGAGGGGCCACAGGGCTGGCCTTGGAGCAGGCAGCATTGTTGTGCTCTTCTGCCCTAGGAAGAAAGACAACCTATGAGATAGCATGTGATAATATGACTAGATCCACCAGGCTCAAAAGACAGCTGTGCAGTTGAATGAGACTGGAAGTCTAGCTTCAGGAGCAGCACATGTGTGATGCAGGGGAGAGGCAGGAGCAGGCTCTGCCAGCCGAGCCTTGGGAAATGGGGTCCCACGGAGGCTCGACAGGCTGCCCTGGAATGCTCAGACAGCACTGCCCTAGCTTCTTCCACCCCTCAGTCTGTGCATGTAATTGTTTCAACTGCAAATGTGATGTGGTGATTTCCTCCGGAGCCAACACTTGGTCCCTATAAGCACACGTTTCTCATAAGCTCACAAGCCCCAAAGCTGTCTCCTTCATGTAATTTTAGTAGCACATTCTGGCCAGCATCAATAAAGGACAAGACAGATTAATTTTTCTTCTTCAGTGTCCAAGAAAACAGGTCCTTGGGATTGGCTATATTTGGAGAAATTACAGGCAAGCTTTGAGTATACTTATCAAGGCTCTCCACAAAAATAAGAGTGACTCTATGAGTACAGTATTTATAGCAAAACACCAGCAATAGACAAACAGGACTTTTAAAAGGTTCTAACTCCAGCCACCAGAAACAGGATTTATACAGCTGCAAATAGTGCCTGCAGACACCTTCTTTGTGCCCCACAGGCTTGTCTGAGAGTAAGAAATGGAAATGGAATCAATCTTTCCAAATTCATAATTTCAAACAATCAGGATAGGTTGGCAACGTTTCAGGTGACCCTCCTGCCCCAGAAAAGAGTATTATATGTCAGATACTTTAACACAAAAGGGAACAGTAACATGCAACATCTGGTTTTGCAAACACGATCTGAGCTGATTTGGAGACAATTTGGATCTGGAAGATATTATGCGGCATTCATGGTGAGATCATCTGATTCATGCAGTTTTTATAACCAAATTTCCCTCTGGGGCAAAGAATCATATGTGGTTACTAAACAAGCAAGTGTAGCTAAGACTGCTTTAATCATTTTGGAATGAAGCTGACCAAGGTAGACTGTTCGTAACATATGAAGGTACCTCAATGTCTGCGGGGAAATGAAATGGAAAGGTAAGTTTATTCTGCTTTTTTAAATTCATGCTTTTGCGGGATCTTCAAAAAGACCATGGAAAATGTGCACATTTTCTATGAAAAAAATCTGCAAGAATTTCCAATTTCTTCTGCCCAAGTAAAGTTAAATGTATTTGTTAATGGTGTGGTTTCCAAGATTATTTTTTTTTAACTCAGAGTGGAGATAGAGAGGGGAGCAAAGGCAGGAGAGGAGGAAGGGGATGGGGTGAGAGGCCTCTTCTCTCCCAAAATGCACACAATAGCCAAGAATTAGGTAAGGCTGAATTCAGCAGCTGAAACTCAACCCAAATAACACATAGGTGGCAAGGACTCAACTCCCAAGCCCTCCTTTGCTGTCACCCGGGGCGCAAATTAGCAAGGGGGGGGGGGACCAGGATTCAAACCCCATGTTGGGATGTCTCCAAAGTAGCATCTCAATCCCTATTCCAATCTCAAGCACTGTGAACTTGGTGAAGTACTTATTCTTTGGGGAGGGGGGCATGTGTGTGTCAGTATGTGCAATGCGCATGTATGTTTGCCTACCTATCACGCACACATACCATGTATTCCTTGGAAAGCATTTTAAATCTTTCTGACAGAGAT